GAGTAAAAAACTACTTCCTGTTTAGAAGAAATTCAAAATGGTGGCCAAACCACGTGACCAATCATAATAATTTTTTCAAACATAAATGGGTTTCATATATAGAAGCTAAATACTACATATGAGAGCATTCTGCTAGGTGGTTCTGAAGAAGAAGATTTTTAAGTGTTTTTTGCAGTTTTTAAGAAAAACAAAATGGCGGGAAAAGTCACATGACCGCTAAAGTTTTTATTGCTGATATCTATCACACATGAGTTGTAATATACCATAAAAAAATCTAGACGCCTAGACCCTCAGAAAGTGGTCAAACAGCCACTTCCGGTTTTATTTCAATCCAATATGGCTGCCAAACTAATTGACCAATCAAAATTCTGAAAGCATGTTGCACCAGTTCACATTAGAGACTATCAGTATAGAGCATTTTCAGACTATTTGGTTCAGCAGTTTTCTCAAACGGCTCGACGAAAAAAGTTACGGAAGAAGAAGAAGAAGAAGAAAGAAGAAAAAAACGGACAATAAGAATAGGGGCCATGCCCTACAGGCTTGGACCCCTAAAAATGCAATAGACTTAAATAATATTATGGCACTGGAATATTTTCCATCAGGACTAATAAACATCGTAAATCGTGGCTTGTACCCAGTGGATCAATATCACGTAATCAACCGGTGACTGGTAGCATTATAGTGGTTGTTGCATCAGACTCATGACCGGTAGACCCAAGTTCAAGTCCTACCTTAGGCTGAACACCTAAAAGGGTAGACCCCTACCCCGGGTGAGTGTGCCACAGACTCAATGGGAAGGCCTATTCCACTGGCCGAGATTCATTCACTAACAAAAGCAACTTTGGGGGAACCTTGGTTAAGGTCCACAGGTGCTTGTGTTCGACCGAGCCTGGTTAACACCAGGATAGCGCATTAAAATTGCCATTTGATAGGGAGATGGCTACACAGCCCTGTCATGTTGTCCCAAACAGGAATATGCACTATGTGTCAGTACTAGCATTTGCATATACAAAAAAGTCAGGAGAGACAACATTGACATTCAATGTCCGGAACTGTCATCTGGCACAAAAAAAAAAATAATAAGTAATAGTAATATATTAATAATCCCACTTTTATCATTAACAGAGAGAAAACCGGATATGAATGCTGCCACACCCATTCAAACACCCATGAATGATTACCTGGAAAGTATGCAGGGGACCAATGTTGATATAGGCAGTCTGGAAGATGAGGAAGGGGATGATCTTGTGCCAAGCTTACAAGAAGCACTTAGTTCTGATATCTTGACTGACGTTGAAGCAGTCCTTTCACCTCACAAAATTGAAAACTTTTTAACCTGGCTGTGATTTGAATATTATAGAATGATCTTATCATTCTTATTCCGTGTACTTATATAACAGTATGAATGAACTTGTGAAATTTAAAAAAACAACAAATGTGATTTTTTTTTTTTCACATTTTTTTTTTTTTTTCGTTTTTCAAAGTACTCACTTTTGTAAATATGAATTGTACAGTCCTGTAGTTCCATGGCTTATATATTTCTGTCAAATTTAGGGATAACCCCATTTTTTTTCTTCCGTATTATATACCTTTCCCCCCAAAAAAAATTGAATGGAAAATTTACGTCCGATGGCATCAGCATTGTCGATGTCGTTGTCAACTGTTCTTAGAGGTGATCAAGTTCAGCTCTTTCATCTAGGGTCTTCCAAACCATTATTTAGACACTATGCCGTGTATATATATACAAGTTTTTGTCGTTTTTTTTTTTTAGAATTTTTTCAGTTTTTACCGTATACATAAAACATTTTTCTTTCAACATAAATTAGTTTGTATTATGTTTTAAAACAAAAGTTACTAAATTTCCAAATGAATTTGTTTTTTTAAGAAAAAAAAACGTTTTTAGATGAAAATTAAATTAATAGGCAGTATAAGACTGCATTGTATTCTCAAGCAATAATTTGGCTTCCAAACTCTAGATTTTACGGAAATGAGAAAAATAAAAAAAATAATGGATGGTGAATACATTCCTTGTGAGTCATATGCAAATATGTTGCCTTATTCACGATGTGCCTTCAAGACACTGCCAGCCAATTAAAAAGTGCTGACTCAAGCTAGCTGTCTCACCTATGAAAAAAATGGTTCAATCTTTTAATTTTGATAGTTTGACTGTACCATTGTGCCTGTAGGGGGATTGTCAATCATGGGAGAGGCCTATGTTGTATTTTAATATTAGTTTATGTTAAGTTTCCCTCCCACAGATTTGTTTAATCTCTTTTGATGTGCTCTTCTTCTGCATTGAGTGAAGCCAATCTTATTTAATATTTTTTAAGATAGCTATTTTATAAATAAACAAATGTTTTTATCACCATGTAATGGTTTAGCCCTATCCTATGCTTCCATTGATGGGTCATCCTATTTAATTTGGGGGGGGATTCTTTAACCTATTCACAACCAATCACAACTTTTTTTCAAAAACAAAATGAAACTTCCCATATCAATTTGATCAACGTCAAATGTTAATTTATGAAATATGGACAGAATTGCACTGATAAGGAGAGTGTTAAATTGAATTCTTAATTTATCATATTTTTATGTACGAGAATATATTGATGATTTTAAAGATGGTTTGTATCAAAATACGTTGAAGCATGTAGAAAACAAATCAACGATTTGTTACGCGTCTCCTGCTTCCACAGATTTGAAATTGTCAATACTTGTCAATTTTCCTTCTCGTCATTTCAACTCTACATAAAGAATTCAATCTTGCATGTCTCCGTAAATAGCCACCAGATTAATGCCACAGTTCTATTCAAATAATAAAAAAAAAACATTCACCATTTTTTTTATTGTTTTTTTTTTTTTTTTTTTTTTTAAATATGCCCATCACTAACACTGTATGCTATTTACTGCTAAACTGATTGCAGATATGCAATGAAGTTGTGTTTGAAAATTGGGGTGAAAATCTATTGTCACTAGTTATACACTATTGTGTACGTGAACAGTCGGGCTAAGTAATCAATTCATAATAAACAGACTTTGACATTTCTGATTAAATCTGTGTTCACCCTAAAAAGCTTTTGACCAATCAGGGTAAAACTTACAACTAACCTACTAGTTCCATAATAATTGGAGGTGGATTTGTGTTCTTTTTCAAGCGACGCAACAATTACCGGTAGATATCCCAACTTATTTTTGGGATGTTTAATTTGTCTTTAAAAGTGGAATTCACCCTCGACCTATTCTTTTCATAAATTGGAAAAATAATGTCTCTTGGCCATACTGGATGTGAAGGGACTAACTAACTATACTCTCAGTTGGTCCCCACTGTAGAAGGTCACCTCATAGACTCTCAGCTGTCAGCCACCCTGTAATTTCAGAAGTTGGGATCTGGTTGCTGAAACAGTTTAAGGGGTCCTCTCAAATTATTACCTCGTTCGAATAAGTGATCCCAGTCTATGAAATAAGCTGGCAGATTGTTGATAAGTCTATCAAATCACAACTGATGGCAATTTGTTTTTAAAATGCAAAAAAGTAATTTTTAATTAATGTTTTTTTCTTTTCTGCCAACTGACACTTAATCACAGCTTCATTTCAAAGTTATCTCCACCCCCTAGGTTTCCATGTAATTAATTCCTGTCATCATGGCTGACCAGATTAAACTAGTTGAGAAGTGGGACAGTTCAAAAGTTCACAAGGGTTACTTAAATTTACGTAACACGTCTTTCAGGGACTTAATTGATTTTCTAAACCTTGGTCAAAAATTATGGTGAATTATAATATTGAAAATTTGAATGGCTGACGAGAAAATTGTTGCATATGGTCATTTTCTCTGGGGGATGTAGGATGAACACAGATTGATGGAACAGGTTCACTTTAAAAAAAAAAAAAGAATCATTGGTGATTTACAATGTGCAGGACTAAGTATATAAAACCAAATTATGTAATTATGATTCAATATATTTTGGTATTCATAGCGTACTTGTTTGGTTAAGCACAATAAATTTATATCGATCAAATCAATTGTTTCGTACCCAATATTGTATCACTTTTTTAGATTTTTATGATAATTTCATAAAAATAACTTCAAACTCCAATTAACCTTTACACCACCAGACTTTCTCACCCAATTTTGTTGGCACCTTTTTTCTTATATTCTTCAATATTTCTGGAAATGAACCCTAATTTTGGAGCCAACAGAAAAATTTGAGTCAATTTTCAGTTTTTATTCAAAAAATTTGGCTATTTTTGTTCGTCTTCTGAAGGAAAGTGCAGGCTATAAATAGACGTTTTTGTGAATTTACTGTGTAAAGAGGGAATTGGTAGTGAAAAGGTCTACTGTGGAATACTTTATTTTCGCTGGAATTAATTTTTGCTGAAAAGGCTTTTTTGGCGTTTTGTATGGAACTTATTTTCACTGATTTTTGATGAATTTAATGTGAAATATAGGAAAAAAAGTATATTCGCTGGATTTTATTTTCACTGAATCATCCATTCAGCGAAAATAAATTCCAAGCGAAAATAAAGTATTCTACAGTACCCAGAATTTATTCATTATGCAATAAATGTTACTCCCAAGCAATGTAATGGATCTTGACTTGAAGTTTGGGGTGAAAATGATGGTTGTATTTTATTGTCAGTATTAGGCTTTTACCATAGATTCCTATGGTAGAAATATGCCATATCTCAAATTGTAGGCTGGTGACAAATCAGGGCCTAAAAATTTAAAAAAAAATATAAGGACGTGTTTCTCAAAAACTATTCTCACACAAAAAAAATGCTCTTTCATAGTACCTTTATAAAAAATGGCGAAACAGCAGGGCCTTTTAGAATTAAATAAATGGCTGTTACTCTGATTCTGTATGTTCAGTAAAATAGAAACATCCCAGGTTTTAGTCGCAAGTAAC